TTGACAGCCGTGATTTATACAATCTGTCGGCATCACGTCTTGACCGCTGTTTGCCCTGATGTCGGCGTCGCAGTGTGGTCTCGTCGCAATTGAAGCGGCGAGCAGTCTCAGCATAATTAACCGATTCCGACGACTTCAGGAAGTCAAGTGCCTCGTCAATAGATGCCATGGTTGTTGAGTTATTGTCGATTGATGTCGAGAGTGCGGAGTGGCCGTGATCCGGCGTATCACCGGATCCGGCAGATCACCGGGAAATCCCTTAACCCTTGTCTTCGAGAAGCACGCCAGATGGTCATTTTCTGGCTCTTGGGCATGCTATGAACGAACCATAACCTGTTTTCGCTCGATCAGGCTGGGTAAATTAACACAGCGATGGCGAGCCAAGACTATGACGATCAGTTGAACCTAATACAACTCACCCTGAGCTCAGGCATGCGCATCAACATAGACCAGAACCTCTCCCCTCCCGGTTCCAACCGCCTTGATGCGCCCTCCAATCTCGAGTGGACTTCCCTCACTGACGATGAAGTGCCCTTCATCACTGACAGCTTCTGCCTCCACGCCCAAGATCTTGTGAATGTTCCCCCCAACAAGCGCCAATGCCTCCCGCTCGCCCAACCTCCCGCCTCCATTGCGCATCGCCGTCCCGGCCGCGAGTCCCAGGTCACGCACCTGCCAGTCCTCGAGCAGGCCCACGCCCACCGTCACGCCAGCGTCGAGTAGCCAGTCTACTGTCGTGCCGTTGGTGAGCGGAGCGCCTGGTAACGCCCGGCGCGAGTCCCACGTCGCCGCTGGTGACTGAAGCTGCAGCAGGATCACGCCGACGTGTGCTGCCGCGAGCTCAGACGCGACGAGGTGAGACTCGGCGCCGCCGATTATGGCCATCTTAATGTGTCGCTGCGAGCCGTCCTCGCTCAAGGCCTTCTCGACTTGGGACTTGATGCGGAGCGCCGTGGCGATGCCGTCCGCGCTGTTGATCATCAGGGCTAGGACCACTTCTCCCTTGACCACCTTTCGCAGGTACGCAAACTCCGAGTACGGATCCGTAGGGTCGCGGTTCGCCTTCGCGGCATCCAGGAGCTTGGTGCGCAACTCGCCAAACGCCGCGGAGTAGCTGTCCACACTACGCACGCCCAGATCCAGCGTGTAATGCACCGCCACATCCTCGGCGAAGACGGCGCCACGCTCAACGCTCGTTACTGCAGTTGTCACGAAGCCAACGCTTGTGCCGTAGTGAGACTGGGGACCTGTGAATTTGGGCGCCGAGATGGCCCGCGTCACGCCATACTTTACTCCCGCGTGCAGCTTCTTCCCGCCTAGTTGCAGCCCATCCACGGCGCGCGTGAACTTGTAAGGGTTCTCGCCGTTGTCTGTCGCCGTCTCGGCGTCGATCTCGTTGAGACCGAGTGTGCCTCCTACGCCCGTAAATGCATGTGTAAGGTAGCCGTTCTTGAGCGCGACGGGCTTGACACCGGCTGCAGTCGCTGTTGAAAGCTCGGACGCACAGGCACCGATGCAGCTGATGCTACCTTTGGTAATGACAACGTTGACTGGCTTGCCATCTGAAGCATGTGTATCGCCATCAGCGGTCGACAGGAGGACCTTGGTCACACCAGTAAAGAGAGCATCAGCAAACGGCGTCGGCTCCTCGACCATGTTCGCGAGAGACTCGTCTGGCACGATCGGTCCGTCGCGCGGCTTAGGCAGCTCGACAGGGTCCTCAAACTGCGCCGTACCGTCGATCCAGACCTGCACCGGCGCGGCGCCCACACTAAGAGGATCGCTGTCCCAGACGACGACATCCGCGTCGAACCCAGGCTTCACCTTGCCGAGACGCTGACCCATGCCGAGGTCGTCAGCTGGCTCTGTCGTCACGGCCGCCAACGCCGCATGGTAGGGCAGTCCGTAGCGGTATCCCTTGGCGGCTTCAAAGAGAAATGGAGGAGACGACTGCGTCGATGTTGTTCTTGTCCCTCAGACCCGTGGCAGCGTAAGGGTGAGATAGCCGGTCGCTGGAAGCAATCGAAGCGAGGGAGGACATTTGCAATTTCGCTAGCCTAATGAATGCAGACGAGACTCCTGAGGCAAGCCAAGGGATACCACGCCTCGCGCTGGGCCCGTCGCGGTGCACAAGGGAAACCCATTTCCGGTGTATTTCCATACGTATGTAACACGGTTGATCCATACGCCTATGGATAGAAAGCGTGAGCCTTGCCAAGTGCGAACCCCATGCAGGCATTCTCCAGCACGATTGTCCACTTCCCATTGACCCCGGCGTGGCTGTGCTTCAAGTGCTGCCGAAAGTGGTCCGCCCTGAAGAACCTCTTAGCCAAATTGCATTCCATGAACCTGTGCACGGTTTGCAAGTGATAAATGCGCTCCTCCCAATCACGTTCCGTCGTGTGCTTGGGTGGATTAAGTCGGCAGAGGCTTCCACTGCCAAGATGTCCAGATCTGGTGAACTCTTTACCACAGTAGCCACAGGTATCGGCGTGTCCAGGGCGGTTGGTCGACTCATGAAAAGCACGTTCATATTCTGTCAGGGCCGAACATGACCACGACCGTTGGCGGATGTGGAGAGATGTTCGGTGTCGTTCCGCTTCGTTCTTGTTCTTGAAACCAGCACCGCAAATGGGACATCCGTACCGGTTCTTGACGGCATGGGCACTATACAAGCAAAAGCTCAGCAACGGCAATGCGTGGCGTACGGCAATGCATGCGCGTTATATACCAACAACAAAGAAACATGCAACAAAGCCGACTCACATGAGCTCTTCAGCCGTCTCAAACTTCTTTGGCTTCCTCGGGCAGCATCCACATATGTAGTAGCGGCGTACGTTGCCGTTGTTGATCTCCCGTACTCTTGCCAACTTCCTCGAGAATGTTCTTACGGGTGTACACGCATTGTTGTTCCCGGTCTCAGAGATTGGCGCTGGCGGGGCTCGCCAGAATAACGGTGGTGTCATCACTGACGAGTTCCACACATCCAGGTATATGTCATCAGGCGAATGGCCGCCAGGCGACGTCAGAAGTAATTTCAGCGACGATTTGTCTGTGCTGCCAATCCGGTTCAGCTTCTTTACTATGTCGTTGGTGTGGATGTCCGCCGGAGTCTGGCAGCGGAAGTTGCGGTGGGCCAGACCGAACTCGGCTGGGAGTGAATCGGCGGATCTACTTCAGCGTCAGGCAGATTTCAAATGACCCCACGGACCGAAAATGTGCTGTGGACGGCAAGCTTGGAATGGCAGGATTCCTTACCTATTTACTGAAGCTGACCTGGCGTATCCTTGGTCACCTATGGTTGTGCGCTCACGCTCCAGCCTCGTGGCGGAGGGATGATCGATGGCTCCCGAGTTAGCCATTGTGTCTGCATTCCCTGATGAAGGATAACGAATGTGGTGGAATGTTTGGGAAACCGTGTAAGGTGCACTTGGTGGAAATGAACACTTAGGAGGGTTATCCCCCTCTCACGAAGCGCTTTACATTGAGTACCGAAGCACTAGATGTCGCTCCGTAGGACGTGCTGGAGATTTGGACACATTGTTCAGGGTAGGTCCAAGGTTCTGCTTTGCTTGACGACTTCTGAGGGTCTGGGAAGGTGAATACCTCCCGCGCGGCCCCGCTGCTGGTGCGCAGTGACCTCTCCAGGCCGCTTGGGATGTACTCTTCAGCGAGACATGTGGGCCGCTGGCTCCGGACAACCCTGCCCGCAATGTGCAGGGGGAGTTTTGCGCCAGTGCACCCTCTCGGCCTCCGTACACGCCTCCTATGATCCTGTTAAAACCGAGAAAAGGCGTGGCTAGATGAGGAAATCCGGGGTGTCCGGATGAAACGCGCCACAGCATGATGCATATGCAATATGCTGAAGTATGTCGGCCAGACCGCCATTTCTCTTCACAAAAGGGATCACGGGGAGGATGAAGGAACAATCTTCAAGAATCCTCAAGGATCTGAAGAGAAGACCAATAATAACTTCAGTCTTGATGACGAAACATTCACATTTGCTTTCACAAGTGCCATCGCCGGTCTGACAGATCCAGCCTGAGCCACGCTTCGTGTGGCGCCCGAGGCCTCGTATCCCCAGGGCGACGATGGTGGGGAAAACGATGGACTCGAAGAAGAGCACTATGTAGAGCAGCGCGAGGCCCATGTTATCGCCTTGAGTGATGACCGGGGCAATAAACACTATGCAAAGGGTAAGGTACGCCAAGAATACCATGCGAGGCTTGATGAAATGCATCAAGCCTACACCGACAAAGCGGCCGACGGCGAAGGCGCCTTGGGCGCCGGCGAGGAACTGCGACGCAAGAGCAGCACTGGTGTTAGGCCTCGTCTCCGTCACAAAGTTGATGAAAAAACTAGCTGTGTCAGTAAGGTCGACGTTCATGAACAGCAGCCACGACGAACTCACCCGGCAATGGCAACCTGAGCACCAGTGTAGCAAAACTGCGCAAACGCCGCGTGGAATAACCGGTACTGCTTTCGGAATGGCAAGTCCCCCTCGCCCGCATTTGCCTCCTCCGCCTGGAACGCCATATCCGCATCGGTGATCTCTGGGATGTCCGAGAGTAAGAGCACGACGGCGAGGATAAACACAAACGCCGCAATGGCCAGGTATACCCATTGCACATTCTCGAGGGCCTTGGCATCGTCAAACGTAAAGAACACATAGGATCCGAGCACAGGGGCGACAACGGAGCCGATACCGTTAAAGGCCTGCGACAGATTGATCCTCATCTCCGAGTACCGTGGAGGTCCACATACTAAGTCAGGTCAATATTTTCGCCTGAAGATGCAGGCCCAGGCCCTTCACACGCACCGGCAATATATGGGTTGGCGGCGGTCTCGAGTGATCCGAGGCCATTGCCAATGACGAAAATGCAGGCGCAGAATCCACCGAAGCTATGAGTCTTGATAGCAGCGATAGCGAGGAGTGCTCCAACGCCTGGTAGAGATAACGAGAACGTAGTGAGTCAGTTGCCGCTAGGAAATCACCTTTAGGCTTCACGTACCGTAGAGACAGAGCCCCCAAATGAAAACGGCTCGGTAGCCAAAGTGCCGAAGAATCCAAGCAGCGTGACCAAGCGACGCCAGCGGATATGCACTGAGGAATAGGTTTCAGCTCATCTTACGTAAACCCAACCCAGGTCGGCTCACCCAAAGTACGCGGCTTGGAGGCCCGAAGAGCGCGCCCGGTCAATGTTGAACACGTTCTGAAAGTGCTTATTCAGCGTGTCTAAGAGACCGTAAGAAAATCCCCACAGAAAGAAGAGGATCGTGACGAGGCAAATGGGATATATGGATTGGCGAAACGTCAGCTCCGCAGCTTTGGTCCTCGAGTCGTCACGGACGCGCAGAGACCGCCTCCGCCAAAAGTCTTTATTGACCATGTCGGTGTTGCTGAACGATGCAAATGGTGATTGCGCTATTCCGATAAACCAACTGATTAAGTTAGGCAATCCTGTGTTGTTAAGGTATGCCAGGAGGCTGTGTGTTGCAGGCTCGAATGTCCTGGGGGTCCACCGCAACAGCCGTCGGCTCAGCGCGAGTACTGCTAAAGAAAAGCCCCGTCCAGCCCAGGGTGGTAAGAACCGCCCCGAGTCTGGAACGGCCAGGCCGGACACAAGGGCCTCAAGCGCACAGCTGCGCCTGCCTCAACGGCAGGGGTGTATGTCCTTCTGTAGAAAGCCACCACCCAATTCAGGTTCGGGACGTTCCGCCGGTGACCATGGCAGAGCCAAAGTCGATCCAACTGTTGCAATTGGCCGTCGGCTGAATTCAGTCCAACTCACTGTCCCAGTGGAGTACGGGCAAAATGACGAAAATCACTTGTGGCGCTGAAAGTAGCCCCACGTGCATATCCAGGCCGGCTGCCAGCCCCAAAAGACTGTACCCCGTGGGGAAGGCATCGCACTTCTGGCGAAACAGGCCAGTACCTGCGCGGGACTGGCACCATCCACCTTTTGCCTCCCGCCAGGTCCGCATCCTTCCCCGCACCATGCCGCTCATCACTCCTTGCTGTTAGCCCAACCATGACAGTAACGATCCTCTTGCCAGAGAAGGCCGAAGCGTAAGAGAGTATCCAAAAGTCTTTGCTGGCAGGATCGATGCTACTCGGAAGCTGACGTAGATACGTGAACGGCGATTCCGTGACGTCGGCCACATCAGTAAATCCACGGAGTTAAACTTGATCACGGTGTCGTCCAAAGGCAATACCCTCTCGGGAACCTCAACCACGAGCCCGTTGAAGTCTCTAATCGCCAGGCTCACAAGAAGATCGAGGTGAACCCAGTGGTATCCCATCCACTGCCGCATTGGTTTCTCTGGTGCTGGATTTGGCGTTTTGGCGAGCATGGCCGGCCGCTGTTTCACCGGCGCTGAATGGCGCAGGACTCGAGGGGGTATTCGCGCTCGTGACCGAGTTCCGCTGAGGGCTGATACGGTGTTGTGGAGGAGTTGGGCATGCCCGATGCCGACGGATGTTATCGTCCTCGATCTGTCGCGCAGGAGTTGGTCGTGACGGACTATCGTTACGCTTGTCAAAATTTGAAAGTTGTTGGTAGTATTGGCCTTAACCACTGCTCACGTCAACAGGACACCACTGCTAAAGTCAACAGGGCGAAGGTCCCAGTAATACATGAGGTTTGCAATGACACAGTTGCCACGATAGTAAGTACCCACAATTGAGACCTGCTTAACCACGAGGACGTCTTTTTACTTCGTTCTTCCTTATTCATTTACAATGCCGTATTAACAACTCATGGGTAATTTTACTCATAGTTAAGGCAAAAACCCGTCGGCACATACCCTGCACGACGCTGGCGACCGTTCGCGACTGGGCCATCACCGCCAGTCTTCCATGGCGAGGTGGAGAAGCGGCCAGAGTCAGCCCTGCGTTGGCTGGGCATCTGGCTCGACAGCACCCTCACCTTCAAGACCCACGTCGAGAAGTGGACAGCCAAAGCGGCCAAAGTAGCCCACCACCTCAAGGGAATGACGAACACAAACCGCGGCCCCCTGCCGAGTGCGGTCCGGAGAGCCGCCCGCGCGTGCGTCGAGCCACAACTGCTCTTCGGAGCGGAGGCATGGTACCCGGGCATGACCTGCCCGTGATGGACCCAACCGGCCAAGGAAGGGCCTTCGGGAATACGACACCTCATCCGGCGAATGGACAAGTCGCTCCATACGGCCGTGCGGGCCGTCCTCCCAATCTGGAAGACGACACCACTGAGCGCCAGGCACCGCGAAGCGGGTATACCGCCAGTTTCCCAACTGCTCGAGTCGTGCCGACTACGCTTTGCAGCCCGCCTTAGATCTCTTGACGAAGCGCACCCACTTGTGGCGCGAACGAAGCCGATCCGGGCCCCTGTCATCAACAGGGCCATCAAGCTCAAGTATCAGCTTCCACGAAAGCCTTTCCGGACCCGACTGCGTCGGACCGACGAGCTGCTCCCGAGATGCGCCCAGCCAGAGCTCCTTCCACGCAGATTCGCCAGCGACCAGCCCCTGCAAACTGCATCGAAGGAGGAATCAGCGGCCAACTTCCGCGACTGGCTCTGGTCAGTTGATCCACGAACAGCAATCGTCTACTCAGACGGATCCCTCTCCCAGGCGGGAGCCGCAGGGTACGGGTATGCAATACATGTGAACGGACTAACCATCCTCGACGGAAACGGGCGCCTGGGCCTCGCTGAGGTCTTCGATGCCGAAGCCAAAGGCGCTCTTGAGGGTCTGCGTGCCGCTCTAGGCCTCCATGAGCCAGAACGAATCGTCGTATGCCTCGACAACCTCGCAGTTGCGACGTGCTTGCAAGGCATGCCGTCAGACTCCTCCCAGAAGGAGTTCCTGGAATTCCAGGCCTTGGCCGCAGAACATGGTGCCACCGAGATCCGCTGGATCCCCGGCCATACCAACATCCCAGGCAACGAGCAGGCCGACGCCTTAGCAAAGGCCGGAACCTCTCAACCCGAGCCTGCAGGCGCTCTCCCGACGCTGGCATATCTGCGTAAAGTCGCTCGGCGGCGACCTAAAGACGCGTTTAAAGCCTGGTGGGAAGTGTCTGCACCTGAACAGTATAGAGTCCTCAACCTCGACGCCACAACTGGTTGCCCGCCAGAACTTACTATCTCGCGATCTCTCCTCCACCACCTGCTCGCAGCGAGATCCCATCACGGGGACTTTGCTGACTACCACGAACAGTTCAACCACGACGATGCACGACTGACGTGCTCGTGCGGGCGACGAAAAGAGCCAAAACATCTTTTCTATTGCAGGAAGATCCCGCCGCAAGTTCGGATGAGGCTGGCCCCCTCACCGACCGCGGCGGTCAACCGTGCAATAGGAAGAAATTTCGACCGGTTCGTCAAGGTGGCGAAGGCAAGCTCGTTCTTCGGGACCATCTGCCCTCGCCATTAGGCGGCTGCACCTCTTCCCCTCCTTTCCAGTTTTCCTTTGTGCGTACACTCTCTCTCGACTCGGCCAGGCGGAGGGTGTCGCACCACCCTTTGTCCCGCCCGGGTCAATCGAGCTGCATTGCAGCTCCTCATCTCGTTCGAACTCGGCCTCGTTGGGGCCAATATGAAAGACAGTTTTGTCGCGCCTGGTCGTCCCGCTGACGGGTAACAGGCTGCGCAAAGGAGCGCCTTTGAGCCGATGAAATGCTGGATGGCGGATTGTTTACGTTCTGCGGAAAGGGGCAGCTGGCGCGGGCTGGCGCTAGCTGCGTTTTGCGCGCTTTTGTGGGCCCCACCTTGGCTGTATCGATAAGCAGATAGTAGGCTTCCAACAGCTCAGCACGTCCTGTGCCCCGTCTCGGGGACCTGAGCGACCTGAAGGTCGCTGGACGAAAAATACACTACTACTACTAGACTGGGCCATCGTTACAGCCACAAACAACAACACTTGGTACCTAGCCATTTCCACATGGCATAGATATAGGGTCTCTAATGATGTCATAGTCAATTACAGTTGCTTGACGACAAATTGCTGGGAAAGAAGTAGACGTATTCACCATACCGTGTCAAGCAGCAATGATGATGCCGCTGAAGATGTCGAGTAATGAAGTTTCAGACTGCACAATACTGCGTCGTCCGCGCACTGGGAAGCTCGCACAGCCTATAGTATCAAATCCGCAATCTTTCACCGTGGAAGACCGCTGTCCTTACGATTTATGCCATCCAAGTTACAAGCCTCACGGCGCTGAAAAAGAATATGTCCAGAGCGATAAAATGGCAACGTCCCCATGGGGCGACGCCGTCAGCCCACTTCCCCGCAAGCAACATCCGTTGGGGCAGCTGGTGATCGACATGTATATGTCTATGTCTAATTCAAGTAACCGACGGGAATTCAGTCAGGAGTCCGCTGCAGCCGTCGGATACCGCAACGAAGCGCCGATGGCAGCACGTCACAAAATTATAAATATCACCCCAGGCAGTGATGTTTCGAAACCCACATCGGCAGCAACACAAACTGGACAAAGTCTCTTACCTATACTATGCGCTTCCAATTTGTCGCAGCCGCAGGCCTACTGCCATTGACCGCGCTGGCGGAGCCCTGCCAGCGTATGTAAACGTTCCATAGCAATGGATTAGTTCTGACCTTCACAGCATACAAGCTAAGCATCACCGCCGCTAGATCGTCCACAAGATGGGCGGATTGTAAGCCTGGGGAATGTTCCGGAAGGATGCAGATGTTCGACGTCATCGTCAAAAATACCGGCACAACTTGGGTTGTATCTCAGCCATACGTTGCTGTCACACTCAAGGGCAATGGCCTCACAACTTACCGACAAGGCAAGATTACGCGCCTTCGACCCGGCGACTCCACCATCTTGGAACTCGGCGTGCAGACCGATAGTGTCCATGTGAATCGAACGGTCAATGCCACCGCTCACTGGGACGATGGAGGCTCCTGCCAAGACTCGACTACCTTTGGCTTTACGGCTTCATACGGAATCCCGAATTACCAGGCCAACGTCGCCTCTGTGAGCAACCATGAAGCTCCGAACTGGTATCGCGATGCCAAATTCGGTATTTTCATCCACTGGGGTGTATATTCAGTACCGGCGTATGACACTGAGTGGTAAGCTGCTTGGATTTAGATATCTCTTTCCCGCTAACAACATAGGTACTGGCGCAACCAAGAGAATAAAAACTCTGCTGTCTACAACCACCATCGGGCGACTTACGGCGAGAATATCGTATACGATGACTTCATCGCCAATTTTACTGCTGCCAACTTCAAGCCCAAAGACTGGATGGACCTGATTAGCGACGCTGGAGCGAAGTACTTTGTGCCCACCACAAAACATCACGACGGATTCGCCCTATTCAACATGTCGTCAAACATTTCGAACCGAAATTCAGTCCGGTTAGGTCCGAAAAGGGATCTTCTTGGCGTATGTCCTATCTTACTTTGCCATTATAACGCAATTAACACTTATTTAGGAGCTTTTTGCTGCCGCGAAGCAATATCACCCTGAGATCCACCGCGGCACCTACTTCAGCATTCCTGAATTCTTCACGCCAGCGTCACCCAAAAACAGCGGACTCGATAGCTCCTTCTACCAGGGTGCCCCGAAAAACGCATACACAGGCGCAGAGGTCCCATACACTGGCTTCGTGCAGAATGACTTCGTCTCCGGCACCCAGCTGCCTCAGATGAACATCTTGGCCAACGATTACGGCTCAGAACTCATGTGGTGTGACATCGGCGGTGTGTCGATGTCAGACCAGTTCGCAGCCAATTTTTTCAACAAGGCCTTCAGCGAAAACAAACCTGTCGTGATGAACAACCGCTGCGGCGCCGTGAACGGCCAGAAGATCCCGGGCGATTACGACACGCCCGAAAATACCGTCAACCTCAATTTCGATTCTAAACTATGGGAAGTTTGTCGCACCATGGATCCCAAGTCTTGGGGTTACAGAGCGGATACGCCCGACTCCGCTTACATGACCTCAACCACCATCGTGTACACGCTCCTCGATGCCATTTCCAAGGGTGGTAACCTGTTATTGAACATAGGTCCTAAGCCGGATGGTACGATCAAGGAGATCATGCAGACTAACCTGCGTGCGGCTGGCACATGGATTAAGTCTCACTCTGAAAGCATTTTCGGCACTAAGTCCTGGCCTCTTGGCAAAGGTGGATCTGGCAACGTCCGGTATACCGAGACCGATCAGGCATTCTACATCCACTACCTCACGAAACCGAGTGGATCCATCACCATTACCGACCCGATCCCTTGGATGCAGGGCGATAAAATAACCGTTGTGGGTGGCTCCAAAAACGGGGCTACTGTCAGCGCTAGAGCAGCTGGCAATAACATCGTTCTGGATGTACCTCAGGAGATTTCCGATGCGGACCAGTATGCTTGGACCTTCAAGATTACGTACTAAGCGCGCCTTGTTACTTCTGTAGTACTCTGCCACTTCGACTCGTACCGAGACTGGGCACGAGCTTATTGTTTCGTTTGCACAATGCGTTAGTTTGTATAGGATGATTTCATGCTGTCACATTCGGTAGCGATGTTGTACGTCTGCGTGACACTCTTGCATCTCAGCCACTGTCTGATCAAGCAAAAAGCGCTCGTAGCCGGCAAAGCCCCGGATCTCCCGAACGCACCCGTCTTGCTCTGCCAAGCCTTCACGACGCGGGTTCTTGCTTCCGCGGGACGTGTGCCCCGTTCACGGTCTCCGGTTGTTTCGTTGATCTCGTGTCGGAGTCGTTCATACCGGCAAGCGATGTCATATTGCTCGTGTCGCAAAGATGACAAGTTGTCCCTACCGTCGACAAGCTGGCCAATGATGACTGCACGGCCTCGTTCCAGGCTCTCCAGAGCTGCGTCGGCAGGTCGACCAGCCGCGAGCAAGCAAGCGCAGACAGCTCGTGCGGGGACCCTGGTGGGGTCGCGAGGCGGCTCGGTGACGCCAGCGGGGCGTCGAGCCGTGAAACGGAAGCTGGATGACAATGCGAAAGAGCCAAATAAAAGCAATCGATACGGCACGAGAGCGACAACGCGGGCAGCTGCCGCGGAAGTCAATAACGCGTCCAAAGCAGACTTGCAAACAAATAAATCAAATCAAATCCGGGGTCCGAGAAAAAACTCTCCCCTGTAAACATTTCCCCCCACTTGGTGCTGTTAGCAGCCCGTTAGTGGGGGGAGCGCTTATGGGCGATTCCACCACACACCTTGCCGTCGGAGCCCATCGCCACCTTAACAGCGCAATGGAAGAACTTTTGGAGAGCTTCATATTCAACTGCAAAGCTGCCTCCGACGGCGAGACGACGCGTTTTTCGGCTGGGAACTCGCGTAGGGACAGCTATGCTGTATCTGAGTGCTAGTAGGAGCTCAGCGACGCGACCATCCTTCTTCCAACGACGCGCCGACGCGCCGAAACCGACCACCGAGCCTCAAGAAACATCAAAACATCACAGTCACAGTACAGTACCAAAGGAAGTCGTGCCCCCTTTCAAGTACGCCAAATGATGGAAGGTGGACTTGGATGCCCCACCATTCCTGCCCGACAATAGTTTACGGCATCGGCCGTCGAGGATTACGCGACTGAGGCACATGGTACGATGGAGGTCAAACAACAGCAAAGAACACACCGCGAGGAACGGTTATCCTCCCCGGATGACGCGCCGCTGCGCCAAAAGTAGTAACTTCTGAACCTCACGAAACACAATCATCACAGACACAGTACGGTAAAGGGGGTTGCGTCCCTTTCGAGTCCGCCCCAAGATGGAAAATGGACCTGGTTGCCCCATTGTTCCTGCCCGACAATAGTTTACGGTAACGTTACAGAATATCGAGGAATACGCGATAGCGGTGCGGAGCAAAGGAAACGGACGTCCAATCTCCATCGACATGACGACGCGACGGCATCAACTCTCCAACCTCCCGAAACGCCAAATACTACAGCCCCAGGACGGCGATGGAAGTCGTGCCCCATTGCCGGTCCGCCCATGACGGAGGACAGACCTGATCACTCTGCCTCCTGCCTGACCACAGTTTACGGTTTGACGATTGACGACACCTCGCGACGTCCGAAATCAGGGTGGCGATCAACGCAACGTCAATCAAGAGGTTGTCAACCTGGTTGATGTCAACCAACTCAACTCAACTCAACGCACGCAATTCTTACTAATCAACCAACTCAATTTCATCACGGAATTGAGTTGATTGCGTTGACAATGGTTGATTTAAGTGCCGCACCGATGTCGTGGGCGCTGGTGCCGGGTAGTTCGGGTACAGGCAGGCACGGCGATTAGTGCTTGCTAGGAGATACTTCTATCCACACATAACTCCATCGTCAATGCGGGTACCAAACAACACACCTTAACGCGTTAGCGGCTCGACGCGTCCACGCGCCCGGTCGCGATTCGCTGGTCCAAAGACTGCCGTTCTAGGACCAGCGCCAGCATGCCCTCTCCTTCACAGGTAGCTTCCCCAGCCGCTGCGCTCTTCCGCTCAATATGTCCCAAACCTCGGACTTCGAGGCTAGAAGTTCCCTAGCAACGTCCCCTTTCACACCCGGTCCCTTAACACCAGCTCCATCAACACCCGAGCCGCCCACACCTGGCGAGGCCCGTGCCTCTCGGCGAGACGAGGATCGACTGTTCCGACACTTCCGCGGCTGGACTTGGTCTCAACGAAGCAGAAACACAAAATCATGGGTATGGGAATATGGCTTTGACATCGAGAAAGGTTCGGATAGGCGATGGGTCTGCAGAGTGTGCATCGAACGAAACAGGCCAAAGCCGGGCAACGTGATTTCCATTGGCACCCAAAACGCTGAGCGGCACCTCTGGGACCACCACAAGATTCTCGATCCCTCTGGAAGGCGTTCCGCGCCAGGGCCTCGGAAGAAACTGTCTACGGGATATCAGACGATAACGAATACCTTCAATCTCGATATAAATGCGCCTCGAGAACAAGCTATTCTAGTAGTGGAATGGGTCGTCAAGGGCAAAGCAAACTCTCCTTCCGAGAACCCGAGAACCAGAAGCTGCGGGCTATTTTCGAGTACCTCAACCCATTCGTCGCGACCGCGGATGCCCATATCACTCACGATACGGATCGAAAACGCGCCATAGCCGAGTATGAGAAGCACAGGGGGAAGATTGTCGAGGCATGGGGCTTGGTCCACCATCAACGCAACGTCAACCAACTCAACATAAGGTCAAGGTTGATCAACTCAACGGAGGAAAAGCTTATTAAGCAGTCAACTCACTCAATTCACGCCTGAGGTTGAATGGATTGCGTTGATCGCCACCCTGCCGACGAGCACAAGAATCAGATGGAACTGGAGAAACAGTACAATGAGGAGCATGAGAAACTCCAGGGGGAGTTCGAGAAGGCCCAACATGTTGCCCTGGGCCTCATGATTCGACAGAGGGATGCCGAGTTCGAAAGGGTTCGTTGACCATCCGAGTCCACGCAAATATGCCGCCTAACGCACAATCTCATTTCATGCTCATAGGGAAGAGGTCATCCCCCCGGCCTACTGGGAGGCGTGAATTTCTTTAGAGGTATCGCTGGGAAGAAAATGATGACTGGAACAGAATCCGCCGAAGATACTTACCGGGAGTTGACTGCGCAACTCGATACAGCTAGCAGTATGCTCGAGAAGAAACATAACCAGAAGAAGGAGGCCCGGGAACGCGCAACTCAGGCCAAAGACATGCAGAGGCAGCTCAGTGAACTCCTCCCAGCTCTGGAGGGAGAGGCTCAGGCCCTGCAGAACGCCAGACGCGCCGCGCAGGAGATCCGAGACACCAACATCACGGCCAAGATGTACCTGAGCCGCGTGCACGTTCAGTATCTTTCTAAGATGAGCGCTCATGCTGACACTATGCTGAATACTTCGGGATATCTAGAGATGGCTAAGGTCGTCATGAAGATTGCCTTATTGGCGCAGACGGCGCAAGAACGACCGCTAATTATGACGAGGTCGAAGGACATTCTCGGGCGACTCAGCAGGCTGCCTCCAGATGTAATAAATGCCGACTCGCAGGACGATCCATTCGGGCTGGGGGAGGAATCCATGAAGGTCCTAATTGCCAAGTTGGACCAGGAGGTTTGCCGATATTACGGGTGGACCGTTATCCGCTATGCTATTCTCGAGAAGTAGTTAATAGTGCTCCTACGTCAACTGTTAAAACTTAACTACCAGTTGCCCAGTCTGGTGTGACAGCGCGTCCAATCATCCTCACCGGGTTCGGGCAGTCCATAGGCTTCGACGACCCATCCAGGTGTAAATGGTTGGGCAGTCCACCACGTTCCGTTGCACAGCGGACTTCTGTGGGAGCCAGCAGCTCCGCGAGCTTGTCCTGTAGTTCGTTCAACAAACTCTTCGCTTTCCAGACCACCTGGGTATGCCTACACTGGGTCAAGCCAGATCCGCTGCTGCTCGGGCCGTGCGAGTCACCTGAGCAGACACCATCGCCACCTCGTCCCATCGACATCTTCGCAGCCCCGCATGTTGGTGAGGACCACGGCCAGGGAGATTACTACAGACAGTCAATGAATATGCTGAGTTGCGACAGTGCCGCCAAGGCAGACTGGAGGAACACCGAGAAGCAGGTCGGTTGTGGGGACAGACCACAAGTGACTGTATAAGGGATTTCCCGGTGATCTGCCGGATCCGGCGATCCGCCGGACTTACACGCGGTTGCATTCCTGGTATCAATCAAGAATTACCACACAACCACGAGATCAAATAGTCTCAAATTCGACGCGTAGCAAAATCTCGCCAGGTACATATGTATCAATCTATTTCGTAGTCATCAAGCCATCGTGGCCGCTTGCTATTTCGCTGTGGTCGCCCGGAGCTCCGAAATGCGACCACCATCTCCCGATCACTCTCACAAGCCAAAGACGGTCTTTTCGCACGTGTTGTACGCACCGGAGTCGTTGTTG